AACTCCTACAACTCAATTACAAAAAGCAACCTGATTAAAAAATGGGCAGAGGAACTCAACAGCCATTTTTCCAAAGAAGATGTGCAAATGCCAACAGATATATTAAAAGATGCTCAGCATCACCAGTCATCAGGGAAATGCAGATCAGCATCACCAGGAGATACCACCTCACTCTAATTTAAGCCTGTTATCAAAAAGATAAATAAATATTGGCAAGGCTATAGAGAAAAGAGAACCCTTGTGCTCTGTTGATGGGAATGTAAATTGGTGTGGCCACTATGAAAAAACAATATGGAGTTTCCTCAAAAAATTAAAAATAAAGCCACCATACAATTCAGCAGTTGCACTTCTGGATATGTGTCCAAAACCACTACTTTAGATAGATACATGAACCCCTGTGTTTACTGCAGCATTATTTAGAATAGCCAGATATGGATGCAACCTAAGTGTCTCTTGATAGATGAATGGTTAAAAAAAGTTGATACACAAATATTGTTCAGCTACAAAAAAGTAGGATATCTTGCTGTTTGCAACAACAGGGATGGAATTTGAGCACATTATGCTAAGTGAGATCAAAGAAAAGCAACTACTGTATGATATACGTGGAATTTTAAAAAGCCAAACTTGTCAAAACAGTAAAATGGTGGTTACCACAAGAGGAAGGAAGGGTGCTAAGACAGTGAAGAGTATGAAGTTAATAATGGGTAGTAAATAAACCATAGAGAATTAATGCACAGTGAAATGAATATAGACAACAGTGTTGTACTGTAATCAAATTTGCTTAGTTTAGACCTTAATTATTTCAAAAGGGTAATTATTTAATATAGGTGATGATTATCACTACAATGGCAATCGAATTAAAATATATATCAAATTAATACATTGTACCTCTTAAACTTACACAATGTCGTATGTCAAACATACTAAGGTTTTAATAATTAAAAAAGGAGAGAAGACGTCTATCGCATTGTAGTTAAGAGCAAATGGGCATTGGCTCAGACAGCCTTGGTCTGAATTCTGGCTCTCATACTACTTAACACCTTGTGCCAGTTATTAGTCTCTAATTTTCATTATCCCAATTTGTAAGTAAGAACTAAAACAGTACCCACCTCACAGCACCGTTAGAAGGCTTAATGAGAGAAATCCATGCACAGTGCTTAGCTCAGTTGCCTGCACATAGTTGAGGTAAATAAATGTTGGCTATTAGATTAAATATATACATACAAACATATAAAACAACACATAAAGGAAGAATCCAAATGTAACACTTCAACCAAATCATGTCCAGAAAAAGAAAGCACCATACAAATTAACTTAAGAAAAATACAAATATGGGTAAGAGAGTTATGGGGAAATGGGGAAAAAAAAGAGCAATATACAGAAGGTTAAACAAAGAGAGGAATCAACTTATCAAAGGATGCTCAGACTATTATTACAGATGGTCATCCATCAGTTTGGTAAAAGCAATAGTTCAGCAAAACTATTGATGAAATACAAGAAAAATACAGTGTGACTGTACCTTAGTAAACTTGAAAATACACATGCCGCCTCTTAAAAAAACTCTACCTGTAAGTGTAGATCTTATGGAAAATATTGCACATGTAAACAGATAACCTTGTAGGAATATTTATAATAGCAAACATTTGGGAACAATTGTGCATCAGTAATATAAAGCAATAAAATGTGGTATATGCTTAAGAAAATCCTATAATTCTGTCACAAATTGAATTTGATTATTCAAAAACAAGTCCAACAAGAAGCATATTACTCATGCAGTTTTCACATTGTAGCTTAACTCTTTGCAGAGGAAAAGCAGTAAAAAATGGTATGAAGAGCTTTTAATGGGGATTGGTTTTACTTGTGTAACCACAGTTAATATCCAATATTCTTTTGCCGAATAAAGAATACTTTTTCTCGACATTATATCTGTGTATAGGTATGTTTATAACATACATATATATGTGCAAATGAATGTTTATGTGTAAAATTTTATCCTGAATATATTTTTATATATGGCTATACTTTTATTAAAATTTTTAAGCATTTAATTTTGTAAAACTTATTCCCCAGAAATAGAAATAGTCACATTTGCCCATGATTTTATTAGTGGAATTTCAGAAGCATTTGTAGTGATACTTATTTTACTTATAATATCTACATAAAATCATTTTAAATGTCATTTATGTTTTGAATATTTGCAAAAAGTATTTTGTTGGAGTTAAAATGATCTGGCATCCTGTGTGAATTTTCAGATCAAATGTGTATATTTAACTGTGTAGATTCAAATTTGTACCTGAATGTAATAAAGAATGTTAAGGTGAATTACAAAGTAGAACTCAGACTTAAGAATTCCCTTAGCAGACAAAATCATTTAAGCCACATAAACACGACTAAATTTAGCCCTTTTCAAAAATATAAGTGAAATTAACTTGCGACAGTTCTTACAAATGCCTCTGATAATTATAAAAGAAACTTGTCATCTTCCTAAAAATGGCATGAGAGATAATCACTCGTAACCAATCCCCTGCTATCTGGAAATCCCCACTATAATAACCAATCACTATAAAAGTCAGTAACTTCTTCATTTTTACTTTATAAGCCATTCAGTGACTTCATGTCCCTGAGGATTATATTAGTCCTTGAATTTGGGGAACCCTAGTTTAAAAATTGTTCTTGCACTCCCAATAAACTATTATTAAGTACTATTTATTGATTTGATGGTTTTAACTTTGTTATTACTAAATTTTGGCCAGATGTAACCAGAGAAGAATGAAACGGAAACCTAATTTAACTCTTTATTAAGGATCTATACAGTCACAGTAGTTTGCTCCAATAAGCTAAGCAATAGAAATTCCCTACGTATGAGCAGTTTGAGTGATAGGAGCTTTTAATTTTTTTCCCCATAACTTTATAATTAGCATAGTCCTAGGACTCTAGGGTCAAGGGAATTTTTATCAGTGGATTGTCTAAAACATGTTAAGAATGAATCCTTTCAGTCCACAGACTACCATACCATAAAATGAAATATTCGTTGTCTTACCTTACCTTTTTCAGGCTATCACAACATGATTGAAACTCAAGGAACTCAAATAATTACCAAAATTTCAATGGTTCTCAAACTATGTGTCATGGTTCCCTAAAAGTTCAGTGGTAGTGTAAGATATATATGTGTTTTGGGCTTGGTTTGAGAATGGGAAGTGGGGGGGCTGGTGTTACATAGTGCTGATAGTGGCTTTTCTCTTGTATGCGTTAGGCTTCAAATCAAGGTTGGTTGGTTGGTTGGTTTTCTCCAGTAAGAATTCCATAAAGGATTGCTAAATAGAATAGATTGAAAACCACTCATATATAGAGAGAGGTTATTATAAGCATAAATACCTAACTGGAGAAGTCAGGTATTTATTGTTTTTAGAAGTTGGACAATATGGTCATGAAAGAAATTATTTTATAATTATTAACCAATACTTTGATATGATGGTTATGAAAATATAGTGGAAATATTTACCTGCAGAATTTTCCCTGACCTACTCCACTTAATTATATAGACATAGCCAAATAATATTCGTTGAGCTTTCAATGTTTGGAGAAGAAGACACTTAGGTGTATCCTGTACAGCAGACTTACTGATGCTGGTTGTACATACATAGCAGTAGAAATGAATACAAGGAGACCATAGTAGAGTTGAACAAATTAATGAATTTCTGGCCTAGAATTTCTTTAGTTTTCTCAACCCATTATTTTTCAACCCATCAGTCATTTGGGCAGAATACATAATAAATATATTTACAGAGTTGATGAGTCTTAACATTAGTCCTTGTCAAACCTGTTTTAATAACATGACCAAGAATGTTCTTAAAAAAGTGAAATCTCGGGGCACCTGGGTGGCTCAGTGGGTTAAGCCTCTGCCTTTGGCTCAGGTCATGATCCCAGGGTCCTAGGATCAAGCCCCGCATCAGGCTCTCTGCTCAGCAGGGAGCCTGCTTCCCCCCTCTCTCTCTGCCTGCCTCTCAGCTTACTTGTGATCTCTCTGTCAAATAAATAAATAAAATCTTTAAAAAAAAAAAAAGTGAAATCTCCTATCATTTTCAAATCTCTGGCATCTTTCAGTGTGGTATGAATATATTCATCCTGCTGTAAGCAGACATTACAGAATTTTTGTGTTTATTCTTAAAATGTCAATTTAACTAAATTAAGATCCTGCTAAATTTGTGAGAGCATTTTATCACAATGTGTTTGTTGCTTTTGTAAGACTTGTAATTTGTAACAAAAACTTCCACATGACACAGTACTGGACCTTAATAAATATTTCTTTAAACAAGGTAATCTATGAAACAACACATGAAATGGAAGCCAAGAAAAGGAATGCTATGCACACAAGCCCTGGGGAAAAAATCATAGTAAATATATTTTGATTTTCTCTGATTGCCGATGAAATTTGTCCCTGTGACTATAACTAGTACATAGCTTCCATCAATAATATGAAATGGTGGGGCACCTGGGTGGCTCAGCGGCGGGTTAAAGCCTCTGCCTTCAGCTCAGGTCATGATCCCAGGGTCCTGGGATCGAGCCCCGAATTGGGCTCTCTGCTCGGCGGGGAGCCTGCTTCCCCCCCCTCACCTCTCTGCCTGTCTCTCTGCCTACTTGTGATCTCTGTCTTTCAAATAAATAAATAAAATCTTAAAAAAAAAATAATAATGTGAAATGGTGTAACTGATTTTGGAAATCCATTTAATTCCTAAATGCTAAGAAAATGAGTCCTGGAACTTAACATTTAGAGTTAGACCCTCAAAATCTCAGTTTCAAGTTACTTATTTTTTAAAATCCATAGTCAAACACACGAAGAATGGTCATTTTGTGTTAGGTGGAGAGAGTTAAATCATATCTAGTCCCGTGTGCAGTTGTAACATTCCCATTCTGGAACAGAACACATGGTGTTCAGATCCAGAAAAATTAATAGATTTTATTTGCATGTATTTCTGCTGTTTCCTTGACAACTACTATAGATGCTGCTATCACCATGGGGATGGTTCTTCTAAATGAAGCGGCAACATCCAAGGGAGATGTTGGAAAAAGACGGAGTAAGTGTGTGTTGCTATTTTTATAGTTTTGTTTTAATCTTAAGATTCATTTAAGTAAAATGGGAAATATATAAAAGTCCTTAATAAATTTCTAAAGAAATGTTCTGATATGAGAAAGGTTGGAGTTTGTTTTACTTTTTTCTAGTTCTTGGATGTGGGTGTACAAATACTTAAAATCTATTTCTTCCAAAATGGGATTGGGTGATTTTCGGTGGAATTGCACATAAAGGCAAGCTGTCAGCCCTTGTCAGGGCTGCTCTGACCTGTGTCTACTGAAGCTGTATTCTCCATAGTAACGTCCACACTACAGGGAGACACACAATTCTGTGGTCAGAGTCTTCAGAGATTTTATTGGCAAATGCTGTGTTCCTTATTCTACAACAATCAGGTATTTCAAGGACTCACAGTTTTCAGTGTACAAAACACTGAAATAGAATACCTTCCGATTACTTTCAAATTTCTTTTAATCAACATTTAAAAAGTTATGTTTTGATCATGCCTTTTCCAGGCCCTATGACTTTTCCAGTGGTATTCCAAGATTTACAAGTCCACAGATTTCCAGCATTATGGTTTTTTTTTTTTAAGATTTTAAGATTTCTTTTAGAAAGATTTAAGATTTCTTTTTAAGATTTTATTTATTTGAGAGAGAGAAAGCACCAGAGCAGGAAGGGTCAGAAGGAGCAGTAGACTCCCCACCCCTGAGTGGGGGAGAAGACCGATGTGGGACTCCATGCTGGGACTCCAGCGTCATGACCTGAGCCAAAGGTAGATGTTTAAGGGACTGAGCCACCCAGGCGCCTTGTGTTTTCTAAGCATTGTGTTTCTAAGCAAGTTATCCACGTTTTATCCTTTGATGGAACTATTCCTTTCAGGGGGGTTGTAGAAAAAAAAATTCATTTGTATGAAGTATTAGATTTTGACAAGACAAGGGAAGAACATGGGAGAATAATCTACCCTTAGGAGCACAGGTTAGGAATGAAGACAGGACCTTAAATTTCCTGCCACAAACATTTTTTTTTTTTTTAATTATCAAGTTCCTATGTAATTTTATAATTAAACCCATAATTAAAATTTTTCCCAGTATGCTTAGCATTTCTGGAAACTTTTTAAACTTAGAATTTATGTGTGAGCAGCACAGGTATCTGAGAAAGACAATTTATTAAGAAGTTTAAAATAAAAATCCAGGGGCGCCTGGGTGGCTCAGTGGGTTAAGCCTCTGCCTTCGGCTCAGGTCATGTTCTCAGGGTCCTGGAATCAAGACCCGCATCAGGCTCTCAGCTCAGCAGGGAGCCTGCTTCCCCTTTCTCTGCCTGCCTCTGCCTACTTCTGATCTCTCTGTCAAATAAATAAAATCTTTAAAAAATAAAATAAAATAAAATAAAAATCCAGACTTATTTTCTTCTTGGAGGTATTAGCTATGGTGACATGCATATAAATAAATCATAATGATTTCTAAATAGTTGTCTTAAGTGTTAAAATATTTTGATTATAGTATACAGTTTAGTCTGTCCTTTGTTTTCCCATGATGGTATCTATACACCATTGTAAAGAAACTACAAAACAATCTAATGTATTACTTTTAGTTAAGCATTGTGCAGAATATCATTTTATGATACATCTTTTGAACAAACAATCTAATGTTCTTGGAATTGACAATGTTAATGAAGACATTTCTTATGTGATTATTTATTATATATCCTATCTTATTAAGCTAAGTAATAGTAATAAATACACAAATTTTTTATCTTATAACATCTGTGATACTGAGTTTATAAAATCACTACTTCCAGCTTCCCTCTTGGTAGATATTTCCCTACATATCACTCCAACACTCAGCATTGTCAAATTATTTATTCATGTGTAGTGTGAGAGAAAGAAGGAGACATGGGAAATATATTTTACAGTTACTCCTTTTTGATTTTTAATACAACTATTATGATTATTATTTCTCAGATCAGAATGATTCTGTATCATAGCATTTTCTTACAAGTATGTTACCTTATATGGGCTGCAGTGGTTCATTCAGTAATTACTAACTCCTCACTACTACTCACTCAGTTCCACTGCTCCCCTCCCTATATACAAGGACTTGAGTAGCCCTGTTTTGTTCCACTGCACAGCATCAAGTAAATATATTGTTTTACTTGATCATGTACTTTGAGCTTCATTTCCCACTGAGCACAACCAAAGTGGCAAAGCAACTAAAAGCTTCTGAAAATTTAAAACAAGAAAGGAAAGAATGAGTGTTTGATAAAAATACCAGATGTGGTAAGGTGTAAAATAAAGCATGAGGTAATCAGTTCTAGGTTTAGTAAGATTGTTGTAAGAAGTGATGCTGTTATTGTTGTATCTAGTGCCCGGTGTCTGTCACACTTGGATAGTTTACATGTTTTTAAAAAGGTGTTCTTCATTTGGGGATATTTAGCAACCTACTTTTTTACTTTATTTTCGGCCAGTATTAATTTGAAGTTCAACTGCATGAACTTTGTCTGAAATGGAATGTCACAGAGGCTACAGTTGAATGTTGTTAAGCTCTTGGGACTTTCAGCAATTTATACTCGAAACTGAAAGAATGATAATCCTACACTGTTGAAAGAAAACTGACAGATTTCTAGACCATTTTTTGACAGTGTCATAAGTTATCCACTCCTTGATTTCCAGGATTGTAATTAAACCTGGTCTCAGACCTGCTAGAAGGATTTTTTTTTTTAATGTCTTTCATCATTATGGAAGCATATTGAACTGCTAACTCTTCCTTGTGTTCTGTACCTTAGTGTGTTTCATTTCTTTAATTATTTCAAATATTTTCAGTATTTTTATAAGAATTCTCTGAAACTAATGAAAGGATACAAGTATCGTGCAAGTGTTTTATTCTTAAATGCTTAGATTTTTCTTAAGAATTAACTCTATTTTCTACTTATTTATGGCATAAATTTGTCCATTTCAATTTCTTTAAATTCATGTTTTTCTTTATCCCAAACAGACCTGCATTTAATTGGCTCAGATTTTTAAGCATTTTAATTTTACAAGCATGTATTTTACTAATAGTAATAAATCTTGTTTAAATACTCTATATATTTGCATACATATTTCCATTGTTTTGTATTACAAATATTTATTACTCTTTGACTTTAGAGTAAAATCTTCCTAACCATAACAAAAAGGAAAAGAAGACAAAAAGTATTTTCACTCTTGTTAACTTGCCTGGGATACAGGGATACTGAAAACCTAGACCACAGCACATTCTACTCTAATATGCCATTTGTTAAAAGTTTCTTCGTTTGTTAAAAGAAATAATAGCATTTTGACAAAAGTATCTACTCTGTGGGGGGATTTCCCCCCACTTTGGGCTCTCCAGAATCCCTACTACTTTACTCCTGAAGGCTTTATTCCAGCTTTTTGTACACTAGGATGACTATTTCTAAGTAACAGACTTTTACCCAAACAATAATCTAGCCAATAATCTAAAATGACATTTCTTAGTAAATATTGCATGGCATCTGAAAAGAATAAAATTCTGTTTAGTATTCTAACAATGCAAATGTCTATGCTAATATAGCCAATGCTTTATAAGGCAGGGGCTGATAATCTTGTTTGTGGTTTATCACATATTTTGTTTTGTTTTGATCCTTGAGGCATTTTAGTACTTATAGGAACTCTGTAAGAGAAGAAAAGCACCAGAAGACTTAGATCAGTCACTTTTGTTGTTTTCATACCCCAAATAGTACATTTTCATTGAGAAGAATGTGGAAAATAATGAATACATTGTATTTTGGATTATCTGGTTTGTTGTGCCTGTATGTGCCATGAACTATTAAACTGTAAGTATACTGTTATTAATCGAATGCATTTAAAAAACATACGCATTTTGGTTCCATGTGTCTAGACATTAATGGCATTTTCTGTCTCTTTCTAGTAATTTGCCTAGTGGGATTAGGCCTGGTGGTCTTCTTCTTCAGTTTTCTACTTTCAATATTTCGTTCCAAATACCACGGCTATCCTTATAGGTAATATCATTATACTAATGTGAATGTTTTTATTTTTAACTAATAAACGACTTCATTGGTTAATGGATATTTAAAGGCTAATATCAAGTAGCTAACTCATTTGCCAAATGATTTTTAACTCAGTTAAACAAGTCTTTGAGCACCTGCCATGCGTTCGGCTCAGACTTTGCAGAGGCCTATGAGGCACACGGCCTTATAGACAGTAGAACTTCATTTTAGAGATACCTATCACATATGTATTGTATATGTACATATAATACAGTGGGTTTTAGTTTTCTGGAATTCATCAAATTTCTTTTTCTCTTGTTTTGTCTGTCCATCCGATCACTCACGTTCAAATTCTTTGGCTTCCTCAGGTTTATATAGGATATATGTTTCCTCCCATGACATTTACATATATGCATCTCTTAGAACTAAAAAAATGTAGTATAGAATATCAGTATGTACCCCCCAAAATACCAATTTTACATTTGACAAGTTTTCTTCCTTAATTAGTCTAGCACATGGATTTACGCTCAAGTTACCTTAGTTGTGGTAGATCCTGGGTTTTTGTTTTTGTTTTTGTTTTTAATTTTATTTATTTATTTATTTATTTGAGAGAGAGAGAGATCACAAGTAGGCAGAGAGGCAGGCAGAGCAGAGGGGAGGAAGCAGGCTCCCTGCTGAGCAAAGAGCCCGACACGGGGCTTGATCCCAGGACCCCGAGATCACAACCTGAGCCAAAGGGCAGAGGCTTTAACCCACTGAGCCACCCAGGCGCCCCTTGATCCTGCTTTTTTTTAATGATTATTATTGCTGCACTGCATCATTTGCCTTTTGAATTATCTTTAATTTTTTTTCTCAGAAATTTTCATCAGTTATCTTGAATGTGTTAATAAATAGATGATAAACATCAAAACCAAGTATTGCTAAAAGGTCTGCAGAGATTACATGCCAGAGATTTGGATATCTCCTGAGCTAAATCCTAAAAACCTAACAGCGTAGGGGGAAAATATACATCTATACAACTAGTTCACTGGAGAAAAGGCAAAGATGATAGCACAAGCAAGAATGAGAGAAGTAATAAAGAGTGGGAGAGAGAAATAATTCTGAGAAGTGGAAATGTGAGATGTTAAAGAAAAAGCTCTCTCTTCCCACAGAATTATTCAGCATGAGAAGCCAGGTCCGTTATGAGCGTCACATAGCACCACATTTTCAAGCAGTTTGCACTCCCAGAAGTGTGTTTCTGTGGCACAAGCCTTAAAGTACCTGCCTAAAAAAGAAAATATCAGGCCTGCTCATCTCAAATAAAAGCACTTTGTAAGGAATAAAAGAATGATATACAGGACACCACCATTATAGGAAAGGGAAAACATGCAAAACATTCCAGAAGGCATGTGCTGTCCTAAGCACTTCTGACAAGACATTTGTGGTTAACCGTCTTTATGGAGAGTCAAGCCCTACTATTAACCCTGGGGACCAAGAGCTAAGTTAATGCAATCCTTTGCAGCAGACATACACTGAAGTAGGCTTGCAAAAGACAAGAATAGTTTCTTGTCCAAGACCATATCCTTGACTTCAAGATGAATTGCAAGGACAAACACACTTTTTCCTTTAAAAAGACTAAAAAAACTTCCCACTTCTGCCTACTTTGGATAATACCCATACTGTGGATAAAACCGTTGAGCTATCCCATAGTGAAGATGCACATTTGAACACAATATCATATACTAATTTAAAAATCACCTGTCACCAGGGACTTCAAACTCCAATGCTAAAGTACTTTCTTGGGTATAATGCCTTAAGCCCTCTGTGGCCTTTGATTTCTTCCTTTTAAATTTCTGTGAATTCTAACTTTTGTATCAAGAAATACTATTGATAGTTTAAAGGTAATCCTGGTCATACTGCTAATTTTTTATTCCTCTTAATTTTGAATTTTGTTTAATCTACAACCTTCAATTTCTTCTGTGTAGTGATCTTTATGCGTTTTATTTTTCTTTTTAATCTTAAGCCTTAAACATTTATGTTCTTCATTATATTTTCTCAGCACTTCACACTATTATTTTTGTTGATCTTTGAAAGAAACAAATGTCTGCTTGAAGTGTTTATCCTGTTTCCTTAAATCTCTCCTACATTTTAGTCCTAAGGGTGCTTTTCCTACAGTATCAATAGATTTCACGCCATCACTGAATTCTCCCAGATTCTCTGTTAGGTTTCAGTAAGCAAACTTGCTGCATTTAAATTCCCTATCTTAAAACAACAACAACAACAAAAACAAAAAACAAAACAAAAAAACCCTGATCTGTTACTCTGTGACCTTGGACAAATTATTTAATTCTTCTAAATACTGGTTTTCTCCTTACTAAATGAAAAAAAAATACATACTTCATTTGACTATCGTAAGGATTACATGAGAGTGAATGTAAATTACTTAACACATTGCCAAGTATGTGGTAAATAACACATAGTATTAATTACTCAATAAATGTTAGATGCTTACTGTCATTAATTCAGATAGGTAAAAATATTTCAAACTCATTTATATTTCATTTACTAAGTAGGATTTTCTTTACACTGAAGATTAAGTAACTTTTATATTTGCATGATTCAGTTTAGCGAAGAACAGATTGTCCCTGAACCTTCTGTTGAACGTAATTGGGCTCCTGAGTCCCTTGAAACTACTAGTGAAATATCAAGATTATTAAGAGTTTGGTCTAATTACCATCTGAGCCATAATTCAAAAAAGAATTTTATTTCAATGGTAGCACTGCGTTCATTTTGTATATTAAATAAAGATTAACTTTAGGCTCATCCCATTTTCAGAGAAAAGCAAAGAGCTGGTAGCAATACCTGATAGTCTTTACTTATAGGTAATATCCCATTTTTTTCCACTGATGCACACTGACCTACAAAAATTCAAAAAATTTCTGTAAAAGTACTTCTGACCCATGCCTCTACTTTAGTTAAAAAAAATAATAATAATAACATGAAACATTCTCTATTAATTCAATCACTTTGCTTCCTATTTATAGAACTCTTTAGTTGTCTTAGCAAGATAGAGTAGCAGAATGGAAAATAATATTTACAATAAGAGCTGAGTTCAATATATAATTTTTTAATTAATAGCTCTAGCTCTGCAGTCAAATAAATCTGAGTTTGAATCTTAGATCCTCTCTGCTAACTTTGGGGCTTGGAGTTAGTTACTTAAGTTCTGGGTCTCATTTTTCTTCACTTTGAAAATCACATTTTAGTTTTTTATGGGGTTGGAGACAGGCTCAGTTGTTAGGTTTGTCTCAAGTTATTTCTCTTTCTTTTGTCAAGATATTTAACTTTGTTGAGCTTCTTTCTTCATTTGTAGTTGGTATAACACCTATCTTCTTCTGTGGGGATAAATTATATGATCACTTTGTAATACCTAAAATGTAAGGGGGTTCTCAATAAATATTTACTTCACCTCCTTCTTAACTTGTACAATCCCTTCAACTTTAGCATCTTACTTCATTATGTTTTTGTTCAGCACTTTACTTCATTACATTCTTCATTGAGTATTCATATATTACTGTTTTATGTATTAAAGTCATTTTCATTCTGTAATATTATGAGATATTTTAGAGAAGAGTCTGTGAAAATACCTTTTTGTATCTCCAAAGTGCTGTGCGCATAGTAGGTGCTCATCATATTAATTGACTATTTAACTCAAAAACATTTTTTATGTATTATCTAAATGCAACAGGAACCATTAAGATAGAAACAGTGACAAGAAGAGTACTGGTTTGCCACATTGTACAACTCCAGAAGATGGGTTCACATCAAATGACACCTCCTGGAGTTGTTAGGTTATTCCACACACCTAAAGGGATGTGTGCTGTGTGGAAAGATAATTATTCCAGAAACCTGAGCTATAAAGATACTTATTGCAAATTCAGATTGATTCTTAGCTGGCTGGCATCAAATAATAAAAATATATTTTATTAAGCTTATAATGGACATAGAAACTATATTCTATTGTCTTTTAAAAAATTACTTTTAATTCCTGATGTCCTTGGCTATTTTGAGAAATAATGAGTAACAAAAAAATGGACGTTCAGTAATGGGAAGTACAGAATAACAGAAATGAAAGACATTTATATGAATTTTGAGGAAAGTATGGTAGTGGACAAGTACAGCAAGACAAAAAAATCCCAGGATATACAGTATAGCAATCTCACATTCATTTCTGTATCTTACATGTAGATCTTTCATCTGTAGAGAAAATATTAAATATAATCTTGAGTTATACAAATAGAAAAATAATATTGAAATGATGTGGTGATCAATCCACAATACATATCACTGATAAGAATTTCACTGGGATTGTCTTTCTCCTGCTGAGTTCCAGCTTTGAAGAATGACATAAAGGACCGAAGATTTAGAGAGGATTCGGAGAAGAGCTGGAATGCTCTAAAGGCACCATTGTCTGGCCCCTATCTTATCTAGATAAGGAATACAGTGCTAAATCTTGTAATAATATTTTGCAAATGGAAATTGAATCTTAAGGACTATTTTTTCCATATTGTTGTATTTCACTGTGGTGTATTGGAAAGTGATCTGGACTTTGAGTGAGAAGATGTGATTTGGACCATGGCACTTTAAAACTATAACCTCAGGCAAGTCTTTTAATCTTCTCTGAGCCTCAGTTTTCCTCATCTTTCAAATAAAGACCATAATATTTCTCTCATACATAAGACAAGTTATAGCAAACTGCTGCTTTATAGATGTAAGATAACTTTTAACTGTGAGACCCTATATTCCAGTCTTAGGCTGTTGTACATTGCTTTAGAGATAAGACCTCAGATACAGATATCTGCAATAGACTTTGACCCATGGAATTAACCGTTTGACAAACAGTAGCTTTGTAAAATACTCCGATATATGCATATGCACTCCACTCCAAACAAAGTATAATTTCATTTAGTTACTTCCCTCTTACTACTTTAGGAAGAAGTTAGAAAAAGGTTAGGAAAGCAGAACTAAAACAAAAGACAGAAATACATGTCATTCTGCCTAGGACAAATGTAGTCACATCTCTTTCCACTAACAAACAGTATAAATTTTAATTCCCAAGATAATAAATCAAAATGCATGTTTAAGTATGTACTAAGATTTTTTAATCAGCATTTGGTAATATTAGAAATAGATACTAAGAACCTCTATATAAAATAATTTCTGTAGAAACTTCCGTTTTTTGTTTTTGTTTTTCTTTTACATTCTGTACTGCTCATTCCAACCCCTCCAGCCTCAAAACACATAGTCTGAACAGACATACACAAAATGGCTCTAGAGGGTGAGTTCCATCTTGAAAATTCAACTTCCTTACTGTGACAGGAACCACTTACTCTATGCAAACTTACTCTATGCAGAAACCCTGCATAGGCAGCTCCTGTGATCTAAAAGATTTTTTTCTTCTTCACCTATCTCCCAACCTTATTCCACACACTAGCTTTATTATTCTTTTTCCCCCAGAATAGTATCTACCTTCCTGATTATGTCTCATTATTAATAACCATGCTATGAAAGCTATTACTAAGTCTCTTAGTTTAGGCTGTGTAGAGAAGTGGCCTTAGCAGTAATGAGACTTGAGAGCTGTTGACCCTGTGTACACAGAGATACAGAAAGGTTTCCATACCCAAAGATCTCGTTTCCCTTCTCCTTTCCCTTCTCCTAATGAAGTCAAGTCCTCTAGGCCTTGTTTGGGGATTGTGGAGTTCAGATTTGAACATTTTTCTGGGTTCAGTAATCTTCTATTACAAAGCCGAGAAGCAGGCTAAAGACGACTGGCTAACAGCCATAATGTACTTCTCTCTTGCATCCCCTTAGAACATTTATGAATATAAAGTAAAGGTTAAGAAAGCCCTAAGAACAGTGAATCATTGCAACTTCCACTAGGTGCAAGGCCAACTGAACAATTCAACTAGCAGATGATCCATGCTCTGAGTAAAGAAGCAAGGCTTTTCCTCCCTTCCAATTTCTTTTCAATACCATAATGAAATCTGAGCAACTGCCCTTTAATCACATACATGAGTTCTCTCAGACAGGGTGGCATGTCACCATTAGGTCTCCCTGACTCTTCCCCAGTTTGAGAATAGGAAGTACAGTACACAAGCAAATTATGTCCATCTGAAGAGCTCAGAGAATTTAACCAGCTCCCACTTGGATAGCATTCATTTAAGAGTACTGTGTATGCATCTTTTTTTTTTTAAACACCAACAACAGATAATTAAGATAAATAAAAACAAAATGCAAGCCATTACTTCATGCCTAGTTAGATTTTTCACAGGAAGAAAAAAGGAATAAACTTGTTTTACATATGAGTCTCCAGTGACCACACAGTGACCAAGTCCAGAGGTCTTTTCCCATTCCACAAGAGCTTAGTTGAGTGGTTTCAACAGAGATTTACAGCCCACAGTTTTTATTCACTTCCTGGCCTTTTACAGAAAGTGTATGGGCTCCTCATACTGAACATACTCCCCATACTGAACATAACACAATGTTATTTTTATTCTTTGGCACTGAACTCCCATAGCCTAGGCTACTATCCCTTCCTTTAACTTGTTTTCAAAGTCAGAGGAACTGAAACACAAGCAAACAAAACTCTAACAATTGGACTTGCCATCACATCAACTATGTCTGTGTTATACTTAATCGTGTCCAGGTCTTACTCTCCTATAGGGAAAAAAACCTAATGGCCATGACTTTCAGTCATTTCATATCTTACAGCACCCTTCTAAACACAATATTCTTGTACAGAATAGATGGGCAGTAAATCTTTGCTGAATGGTGATTGAGACAGACTTTTTTTTGGCTCAACTTTGAGAAAACAACTACCATTTTAAATCATGTTTCTCTAGAAAAACTTATTTGGTATTTCAAATAATAACCTTGTTACAAACTTTTGGAACATCACTTCTCCGCAAGTCAAGGACTGCATTTTTATATAGATCCTGAATGTTTGTAAGTATGAGGGAATAATTAGGAAAGAACCACACTTGCAAGTTTTGGGAGATCTCTATCCCCTTCCTTCTTTGTATACACAATGTCCCTCTGCATCCCTGATCTACTTTAAGCAATAATCAAATTATGTAGACCAGAAGGGAATAGTTGCATCCCTTTAAGCTAGCAAAAGGGGGAGTTTCTGGGACATACTCATGCTGGTTCTAGTCTGCTCTCTAATCTGTGTACAATTTTCTAGACTTGCCATGTAGCCTCCATCTTCTGTCGCTACTTGCGTCAGTTGACCATACATGCATTCACTTCAAAGTAAGCTAGCTACAGTAGTCAGTGCTACGTATGCACATACTACCATGACCTGTGAAGAGAATCATTCGTGAAAGGGTAAAAGGGAGTCCAGACAGAAGTTGATGGTGGTACCTAAGGCAGCTGCTCCCTCTCTAAGGAACTCAACCACAATACTGAAAAATACATTCCAAGTAAGAGGAGTATATTTGGTTTTTGGCATTCAACAGTTTTTATGTTATAAAAGTATTTTTATACATTTTTACAATAAGCATTCCTAGGAAAGATACTATCCAAGCACTATTAGAAACACAGATAGAAGAGAACTATTACATTATACATCAAAATTACTAGACAGGTAAATCTAAAAAGAAAAAATTATGTCAGAACCTGACAGGAATGAGGGACTAATCTCAAATGATGAAATCCATATAAAACATTCATATTGGAATATACCTTGGATGCTTAATATTAATATTGAATGATTACCTAGAGAATAATATTTTATGCTTTTCTAAGATTTTAACAAAACATTTTTGATACACTTCGATCTTTCCAGTGTCTTGAATGAACACTTGTAAAGTTTACAATTTTTTATGAAAGAGATTTTAAATATAAAAAACGGGAAGTAGTCTGTTAAACTTATCCTTTATTGTAAGATAATAGAATCCTTTCCAGATAAAATATGTATTTGTCATTGCATAATAAAATGTAAACAAAAGATTGTTTTAACAAGCTTTTTAAAAAAATAAGTATTATAGTTTGGGAAAAATTCCTAGTGTGAACCAACAGTGTGGTAACTAAGGATTCTTAGTTTACCTTAATAAGAAGGTACAGAGATCCTTTTGTTTATTTATTTTATTTTTAGATTTTTATCTAAAAATCATAGAATTTTTTTGACTTTTTAGATCCAAAAAGTTAGGAAGTATAAAATGATCATAAGGGTCATATTACTGTTTTTGTTTTTATAGTATAATAGTTTTAACAATGATAAAAGGTGATCTTTAATGCACACAGCTAAAAAGGTTTAGACCAGTTGTTTAAAAAATAAACCCTGTAAGTTCTCAGTTTCCTTAAGTCATAATTTTTTCAACTTTAAGTTTTAAGTATTTTATGACCAAGTTTTCTTTTTATCATTAACTCTCATTTTTAAGTTAGCTTTAATCTTTAGGGGAAGTTTAAAATTAAAGACAGAAAATGCCAAAGAGTTCATCTACAAAGGACACATCTCTGTGCACTGCCATCAGTGTTAAGGATTATGTGGATTGAACAGCAGCCACTGCTTACTGCTCTAAGGAAGTTTCCCCACTGACATTCTTCTTCAGGCCTCAGTCTTAGCTATTTATTTTGAAAAACAGAAGCAAGGTCTTGTTGCATTGAGGGATCAGCACACGATTTCTAGCCTTTAATTCCTCAGAAATGGAGTACTTATTTCATATTGTATAACCTTTTTATTTTAAAATTTTATTATACTGTATTACATTTATTATATTTTTGTTATATAACATTTTAAGTCTTTTTAAATACATGTTTACTTTTAGCACATAGCATCACAAGGTCATTAGGTTGATAAAATATGGGCACTATAAAGAACTTTGGAGATCAGCCAAACATTCTTTTCACTAATGAGGAAACCGAGGTTCAGAAAGACAAAGAAATATATTCTTAGGATATTAAGATTTAAACATCCAGATATTATATATCCTTACGAATTTAACAGTTTTCCAACTACATGGCTTTCTAATTGTAGCAACAATTATTTTTGTTTTTATTTTAATATTTTGTTAAAATATGGTTTGTCTCTGGTCACCCTGCAAAGTTATATTATTAGGACCAAAAAAAAAAAACAAAAACAAAACAAAACAAAAAACCTTGCCACATGTTAGAAAGAGGTACAAATATCAAGCAGAAACTTAGTTAATGTTATTTAAATTGACTTACCATCTTACAACTTATATTTCTGTTCATAGATTAAAACTTTGCTTAGGGAAGTTAAGAAAAACAGCTCCCTTTTATTTCTGTCTGTACAAGCATTTATGTGCAGATATTTATGTACTCAGAATCTGATGAGACTCATGATTTATATATACATTCTTTCTGGCTGTACAATATATTTCAGCTATAAATTTCACTTAAAAACATCAAGCGTTTAGTCATTTTATGTAAGTGAATGAATTACAGGTTGAAGAAAAGAAAGTTTTTTTTTTTTTTTTTTTAAGGACATTGAAATGACCCACTTCAAATCTTTGTTTTAATTCATACTTTTTGTTCCTCTTACATTGCCAGTTTAAACACTGGTTAAACTTCTGTTCTAAGCAGCAATGAAAGTGGCTCACAGAAAGAAATAGGGTATTTTACCCAAACTTAAACACTGCTAGTTCAAGTTCTTATCAGCATCCTCTCCCACCCCTCACCTGTTCTCACCATAAGTTTTGACCCCATCTCAGAAACTAGTTCAGAGAAATTGCCCTGATAAAAAATTAGAATGAGATGAATTAATGTAATTATGACATTTTTATTGTATCTATTTACATGTACTATTTTAGAATGAATAAAAAGCATATTGTGTTTTCCCTGTTTTCAGCATATAATTTTCTTTCTTTTTCAGCTTTTTAATTAAATGAAGCCAAGTGGGATTTGCATAAAGTGAATGTTTACCATGAAGATAAAGTGTTCCTGAGATATAGTTTGAATTCTTGAGTTCATATCCACGTTGATTGTGATAATTCTAGCTTATTCTTGTACAATTTTTGAAATGTGTTTTCCTAGCCAATTTAATTTATAGAAGTGGATAGTTAAGATTCATATTAGCACTGGAAAGAACAAGAAATACTGAAGTGTTTTCAAGCATATTATATTCAGTGTATGCTGTAGGACTGAAATAAATGACAATGTAATTATGAATTCATGTGTTAGAACTGTTCACTCATTAGTAAAGAAAACCACAATGTTAGTAAGGGAAAACTATGAAATATATGTTAAAGAATCCTTAAGGTTGTACAGAGATAAGGTATATGCATGAAAATATGTCACATACTGAGAAAATATATTCAATGTCATTTCAGTATAAAGGATGTGTGTATGGTTACAAATGTTTTGTTCTTATTAATTACAATTAGAGGCAGGGAGCTGGATGAATAGTGCCTACAACTTAGAAGCTTAACCTGGGAAATGGGAGGTTTTTTCCCAGGACGTAAATTTTAAAAACGAATAGGTCTAAATCAGTAAGCTTGAAGGTATTAGGTGATGGAAGCAACACACCAGAACTAGAAATTAATTTCCTCTCTAAATTTAGAAGGGTCACCCAGGAATCCAGACTTGTTACTGCAAAACTAACCTGATGGCCATTTTCCCCATGTATTATATGGAAGAAGTTTGCCATCAAAACTTCCTTCCCTGAATCCAGATAAAAATTATCCTATACATGAGTGACTCAGTGAAGCTTTTTTGAAAACCAAATATTGGAGTCTAACCATTACTATGTTTGTATATCCTCTTTTAGTTTATAAAGCACTTTGGCATATGTTATTTTCTTTACAACAACCCTATAAATTAGACAGGATTTAAAAATTTTTTCTGACTTACAGAAGTTTTAGAAGCTGGAAGCCAGAAAGAATAGAAAAATAGGGCTTATAAACTGGGCTTTAGAACTCTCAAATCTGAATTTTTATTTTCGTTGGTGCTAAGGAAGAATTTAAAAACACAGTTCGGTAAACTTTGTTTTTCCTTTAACATTTTGTTATCTAATTTTGGTTAAGATCTAAATAATAGAACGTGGAAAGCTTAGGAGTTTCAGGTGTACAGTCTTAAATAGGAACCAAGAGCACATCTACTAAATTTATTTATTTCATACCTTTATGAAATTCAATAAAGAATGGGAAATATAAAAATCCTACAGGGGCATATGAAGCTAAGTTCCAGGGCAGTATGTGTGCTAGGAATAAGTTATCTTGTCAAAATAGGATATTCAGTGAAAATTGCATAATAATTCAGAACTCTGTTCACCTTACCACATATTCCCAAATCTGTTATTAAAAAGCACATTAAGTTCCCTAGTTCCTGTTCAAAGTGTGATAAATTTAGTACTGGAATGGCATTTATGGAAAGATATTAAGTTATCATGATCATTTGTTGAATGCCTATCCCTAGGGAGCACTTGACCTGTAAATGTAAATCCATTGAGTATTTTTACATTTCTTAAGATTCATTTAGAACAGGCATTACAATTGGAATCTGAGAGCAAAGCTTTACATGTAAACACATGTTTATTATAATTATTTTTGTTTGTCTCCTTAAGGCTCAAAGTTGTTATTAAACAACATACATATGTCTATAAAACTTTAATATAGTGTTCAATCATGACCAAAGTCAGACAATGACCAAGGTAAGGAGAACTTCTCTATTTCAGATTAGTAAAAGTTTTGTAGCCTGTATTATGTAATTTCCTTTCAGTAATATATGCCTACAACAACAAAAAAATTTTAGCATTTTATAGCTAGAGAGCTGTCACTTTGCTGTAGCCTGTTGTTACATTAGGGAAATAAACTGCCTCAAGACAAGTTGTTACTGGAAAGTGCTGTGGGCAAAACTACAAAGACTGGTTCAAATGTAGTTTCGCTTCAGAATTTAGCATATGGAAAATCATGTATGTAATATAGGCTATCTTTACCTTTGCCAAACAAATTAAATTGAAAAATTAATTCTTATCTGATATGCTGTATCCTGCAATGTCACTTTTCAACCAGATGTACTGTATTGAAGGCTCCCCTAAAAACTGATTATATGTTGAACAGTCTTCAGTTAGAATAAAAAGAATTGCTTTCCTACCCAGAGGAAAAAATCTTAACATAAAATCCCATCCAAAGGAGTGTAATTTCTAACAACATCTAATGAATAAAATGTTGCATTTTGCTCAGCATACTGTTCCTTGCATCAGATATTCACATGAGTAAGCCCAATAGTGTTGTGTGTTTACTATAATTTTCTTTTGCATATAAAGTAATATCCCTTGTCAGTTAACAATTTAGCAAGCATGGTGATTTGGGGAGATTATATCTTGTAACCGTAGAGCTTGACAAGTATTCCCTTTCTTGCTATTTAGGAGAACTTCCCTAAAGGTACATGAAGGGAGTAGTTATTTCTAAATAAGGCATGACATATTATTTTGAAATCAAAGACAGTTAACAGTGTGTTTTAAGAAGTACTGGTAACAAAGACAAACGCATTAATTAGAGCATCTAGCAACAAAACATTTGAATGGATTTTTGGAGACAATGTTCCTCAGAGCTCTTTAATGTTCAGTTTAAAATATTAAAACAAGAGGCTTTTCATACTCTAGCAAGAAGCTGTACTGGGTCAAACTAATAATTTTTCTAATAGTATTTTTTTTCTAATAGTAGGGAAAGGGTGAGCTTGGTAGTCATACTACAAGGGTACAAGTATGTTCATGCTAGCCCCTAAATTCCCTTACACAATTTATGAATTTTTCTATACTCCATTTTTTACCTATTATGTCAAATATATATGCAGTGTTTTTATCATATAACAGTCTAAGTATTTACAAAATTTTAATAAAGCATCAAACATTCAGAATATACTAGGAAAATCAGATCACACTTATCCAATTGGTGTGTCTATTTCCACAAAATATGCATGCATATAGGCAATGAAAATGGCAGAATGAAACTCTAAGGACCCATCCACTCCACAGAAACACTAGAAAGACTGGCAGAAACTGTCACTCAATATTGTTCAAAGTCTGGAAGATGATAGAAGAGAAATCAAATGAAAGTTTAAAATGTGACTGAAATTCAGATGGCTAACTTGATAGCATTTTATCTTAGTCTTTCCCCATCCTTCTTCCCAGTCAGTAGTGGTCTTAAAAAATGGCAGCCTGTAAGTGGTATGGGGACCTGGTTCTACAGGAGGCAGAATACTCCTGTTCCCAAGGATAGTGTTTGTTTTGCCCTGAGGGCTACTGGGAGGATTGAAATAAGGGGTTTTACCTTTGTTTAACCTAACTCAGAAGTTTCTCAGGGTGTTGCTCCAGAGGGTGTTTCTCCAAAATACTGATAAGGAAATGAACATGCTCCTGCCTGAGGCTAGAGTTAACGGTTATGACAGACAACAGACACATGGCTGAGGACTGAATGAAAGGAAAAGCTGAAGAGTGAAGTACTTTGGGGAATAAAGGCTTTGAAAAGCTGCCACATCCAAAACCCAGATCAGGATAGATCCTCAGGAAAGATCTGAGAAGACCCTAAGCTTTTTTTTCTTGCTGATGTTTACATCAGCCCATAAACACCCTGAATAAGTACTGATGGGGTGACCTAACAGAGTCAATCTAAAGCCCAGGGGACTAGTTTATTTCTTTTTCTTTCTTTCATCTGCATGCACTTAAGGACAGCTCTTTCAAACCACTAGCTGACCACTAAACTAATGAAACACAGACTTCACAGACCACACATGACAAAGAACACAATTTTTATAAAAACAGTTTGGAATTCACTAAGTAACTACAACAAGCAACAAAACTAATTCTAGAGAGGGAGCAGAATCCAATTTCCACAGTTGTTACATTGGAATATTTAGAATGACCGGTTTGGGGGGGAAAAAAAAGCACACAAAGAAACAGGAAAGAAGTTAATACCGTCCTTAAAGCAGAAATTCAACTTGCTAAAGACTTTAGCAGTCTTTAAAGCACTCAAAAAGCTACAGGAAACCACAGACAAAGAAACTAAAGGAAACAAATGAACAATGCATCAGCAAATAGAAAATATCAACTAAGAAACAGAAATTATAAAAGGAGTCAAATACAAATTCTAAAACTGAAAAACTGTAATTGAAAAATTTGCTAGAAGGACTCAACAGAACACACAGATCTGACACAGTTTATGAAATGTAATTTGACAATAATCTCATAAAAGCAAATGGCTAGAATTGCAGTGAAGCAGTTTTTTTTTTTTTATCATTTTTTAAATTTATTTTCAGCATAACAGTATTCATTGTTTTTGTACCACACCCAGTGCTCCATGCAATCTGTGCCCTCTCTAGTACCCACCACCTGGTTCCCCCAACCTCCCACCCCCCCACCTCTTCAAACCCTTCAGATTGTTTTTCAGAGTCCATAGTCTCTCATTGTTCACCTACTGGTGAATGTAAGCTGCTATTAATTTCAACTAGACTGTTATAAATTTAAATATAAACCCCAAAGTAGTAATGGAAAAATTGAGTAAATACCTATCACATATAGAAAACAAATTGCAGAATGACAGAAGTCCCTATCAGTAATTTCTTTAAAGATAAATGCATTAAACATTCCAACTAAAAGCAGAGATCTGTCAAAAGGATTTTTACAGTATGATATAACTATATAAAATCACATACCAAAATAAATCTCAAATCATTACCCTAAGTTTTTGCCTCAAGGAGCTGGAAAGAGAAAAGCAATCTAAACCCAAAGACAACAGAATGAAGGCAATTAGAAGGATTAGAAGAGAAATAAATATAATAAAGAATAAAGAAATGAGAAAAAGTCAATCAAACCAAAACCTGAGTCTTTGAAAAGAGCATCAAAATTGAGAAACCTTCAGTTAGACTAAGAAAAACAAAACAGTTCTCAAACTTCTAAAATTAGAAAGGAAAGTAGGAACGAATAATAACACCTTTCCTACTGAAATAAAAAGGATTATCAAAAAGTTCTATAAAGAGATTTCAGGAAAATGGTATTGGGGGAGGATCCTGAGCTTACTTTTCGTTACAGACAAATCAAGGTATAACATATATAATGCAACTCTCTGAAAGTGACAGTGAAAATGACAGAAAACAGAGACACAGTGGGAACACATAAGCAGGAGGGATAGAATAGTTATGAAGGTTATCCATGAGAACAAAGGGATCAAGCCCCATATGGAGCACCCCCAGCCCTGGGGACCTGTACCAGGAAGGTGAACCCCCATAACAACTAGCAGGGCTTAACTCTGGGACCTCTGCAACTCAGTGGGGCTTAACTCCACCTAAATGCAATCAGTACTGGCATTTTCCCAAAAGCAACTACCTCACCACACCTGGCAGCAGCTCCAGCCAGGACCAGCACTCCTGGAGAGCAAATCCTGCCCTGGTGAAGAGGAAGCCAGCTCCATTCACCAGTACTTCCACAGCAGTTGTGACCCAGTCACAGCAGGAAGGGCCTTACAGGATGCGTTCTACCTAAGACCACTACCTTCAAGACCAGAAATTATAGCTGACTTCCATAAAGCATAGAAGCAGAGAGACACAGACAAAATGAAATTACATTCCAAACAAAAGACAAAAATCTCAGAAAAATACCTAATTGAAACAGAAATAAGCAATCTACCTGATACAGTGTTCAAAGTAATGGTCATAAAGATACTCACTAGATGTGAAAGGAGAATGATTAACTCAGTAAGAACTTCAACAAAGAGAACATATAAAAACCATTCAGAACTGAAGAATACAATAACTGAAATGAAAAATATGCCGGAGGTTATCAACAGCAGATTAGAAGATGTAAAACAAACAAACAAAAAAAACCAAAAAAACAAAAACAAAAAAAGTATCAGTGATATGGAACACAAGGTATTGGAAAGAACCCAACCTGAACAGCAAGAAGAAAAGGGAAGTTTAAAATTGAAGATATATTAAGGGATCTCGGCAACAACATCAGGTGTACTAAT